TTTTAATTTTTTAACTAAAATTAACTGACACGTGTCAATTTAAAATAAGAAGTTGCCATTGAAAATATATATAAAAATAAAGAAATCATAAAAATAATATTTCGTGTTAAAATAGAACATAAAAAATGAAGTTTAAGGGTTAAAATGGAACAAGGCTAAGATAAAGTGTCAAAATGAAAAATGTGGACAAGTTAGAGGGGCTATATATGTGTTTGGCCTTTTCCATTCATCCCCATATACAAAAAAAAAAAGAAAAAAAAAAAACACTCAACATACATTTTGGCATATTTCAAACAATTCACTACTTTTTTTTTTGTCTTAAAAGTTACAACAATTTAATATGTACTTATAAAAAAGACATACAAAAATCAAAACTACAAGATTGTATACAATTGCTAAACATACTTGTAATAGCTATTATATGAACCTTATTTATTACTACTAGTTTTGAACTATAGGCTATTCTACAACTCTCTCACATGTTGACTTTAAAATAAAAGTAGACACAATTTGCTTACACTTATATATGATTGATGATGATCAACAAAAGCATGAATAAGCCCAGTGTGATTTCTTGGATATGTATGGAGAGACATAGTTGACAATAGAAGATGAAGTAGAATCCTTTTGTGTTGGATCAAGTACCTCTGTCTTTCCAGAGGCAATTCTCTTTGCTACAACATTAGTGTAGAATAGATTGGAGATTGTTGGTACAAATACATCAGCTTGTGTGCATATTTGGAAGTCAATAACTTTCTCAAAATCAGAACTTTTTGTGATTTGGTACTTAGCCTTCTCATATGCTGGAATTATTGCATCCTGTTGCAATTGCATAACAAGAGGAAAGTTGTTCAATAATCAAGAAATAGGAGGATAAATAGAATTTCTACTTGCTCTCTAGCATGACTCGAACCCTCAATCTATCAGATGGTGTTTGAAGTGCTCAACAACTTGAGTATGCCTCACTCTATTAGTTACTCTCTCTATACCATTTTATATGACATCTTAGTCTGTTTAAAAGAGAATGACACAATTCTTCATTAGGATCTTATAACTATAGAATTGTTATGACATGCTTAAGATTTAGACCACGAGTTCTCAAGATACTTTTGATATGTGTCAAAAGTATGTCTATCTTCTCATACTTAGTACTCAATCAAACATTGTCATATCAAAATAAAACTAAGAAAAGATAGTTTTGTTTGATTCAACCTCTTAGCTTTATTAGTTACTCCATGTGCTCCATTTTATATGATACTTTTAGTCTGATTGAGAAAGAATGACACATTTCTATATTTGAAAAACCCTTCAACTTTAACCTTTTTGTCTTACCCTTAGTGACATGCCCTTATAGACATAGAGATGTCATGACACCATTTAAGATCTGGACAACAAGTTCTCAAGGTACTTTTGGTATATGTCAAAAGTCAATTTTTCTTTCTTAAACTCCGATCTCAGTCAAACATCGTCATATGAAATAAAGCCAAGAAAATACTAATACATAGACATAAATGTTACCTTGGTGAATGTGTTAGGGAAGATCTTTCTGAAATCATCAAGACTGCCATGCCATCCACTTTGAGTCAAGTAAATAGTAGTGTGCCTTTGATAACCAATCTTCTTCAAGAACTCACCAATGTCTTTGGCATTAAAACAATCCTTAGTTTTAATCACATTTCCTTTGCACAAATTTCCCAAAGATTCAAGCTTTAAGTCCACAGCAACAAATTGTCCATTTGTTTTATAGCTCAAACTTCTTAATGTCCCAATCATTGAGCTAACCAATTGATTTAACTCTTGTTGCAATTCAAGACTCCCAAATATTGCTAAGCATGCATAAGGGTCCATCTTAATATTGTCTTTTTTTATGATCTCTTTGGCGTTTGCCATAGTTGAAGGTGACAAGTTTGTTGTAAGCATTAAGTTTCCTTTGGCTTTGAATATTGGCTGAATTTTTGATTCAATGAAGTCTTTGGTCACCATGAAAGGCACCTTTATGTTTGTGATGTTCACTTTTGATGCTTCCATTGGTGGATCTTTGACTACTTGAATTGTGCCATCTAAACTTGTCATGAATCTCTCTATGTCATAAATATCACCAAATTGCCTACAAGTGGTTTTGTTTTGTGTCAAATTTAGAATAGAAGAATGACATGAGGATACAATAATACTCGGAATGCTCCACGACTAAGTATATCCATACAGACTCGCTTTTGTTCAATTAGTAAAAAAAAAAAAAGCACTTTGAAGAAGATTTATAGCATTATTTAAGTAAATACAGATTAAGATCGTAGAAACATGAGCTTGTGATATAGCTACATCTAATTTCGGACCGGTTAATGCAAGAACTATAAATAAAGGACCAAGATCCCCTATAAAATAGAAAAGGTCATTCATACATAGCATAGTCCAAGCGAACCACTTTAAAATCTTTAATTTAAGTTATGATTTGTGAATCAAAGGGGACTTCATTCCTTTTCAACCAAGATTAGACTTTGAGTGAGATTCTTTAAGTAGTGTGTGCTTGGTAGGGAGGAACCTAGAAAATATTTTTAATTTTTTCATGTTTGGTTGATCAAAATTTATAAAAACACACTTCGAAAAAATAAATTTCTTAAAAATAGAAAAAATGACTTTTTAGGTGGAGATGAAAACTAAATTCAATAAGTGACATTCCACTATTGATTGTCTCGTCCTCAACCTCCAAACACATTCCACCACAACCTCCCTAGCCCCCACCCCCATACCGCACCATGATTCCACGTCCACCAACATAATATTTTTCAAGATTATATTTAAAGACTTTTGAAAAAATAATTTTTAGCTTACATATCAAATATCGTTATTTCTTTTTTACTTATTTTTCATGAAAATATTTTCCTTCATACCAAACACACAATCTTTATCAATCACCTACTTTTATTCTTTATAAAATTATTTAATTACAAAAATAAATTAGTTGATTTGTAAAATCGTAGATTGTATACCTTATAAATATGATTTTATTTTTCCTTTTTTTCTCTCATGTTATTGAATTGCTAAATAAATAGTATTATTTTCCAAAAATAAAATAAAATGTAAATAACTAATTTACCTCTTGTGCCCTGTTTGGGTTCCTCTTATTTCAGGAAGGACTAGAGTTGCTCCAACATATTTGGCCACAACCACTGCATTAGCAATCTGAGATAGCATAATAACTAAGTCATATCGAAATTTATTAATTTGATATAAATATCGGTAAATATTTACCAATCAAATTCTCTGTGATTCTTATTGATAATAATAAATTCACTTTCCATCTCAGGAAGAAAAAAGGAAAAATGACTAAAATTATCCTTAAATTATTTGAAATAGAACAATATTATGTTATCGATTCGCTTTTTGACACAAATATGTAGAGTTAATATCTCAAAAGGTCACTCAACTTTCAGAATTTATCTAGTAAAGTCATTGAACTTTCTTTTGTATCATTAAAATCACTAAACTTAGACATTTGTATCATTAAAATCACTAAACTTAGACATTTGTATCATTAAAATCACTAAACTTAGACATTTGTATCATTAAAATCACTAAACTTAGACATTTGTATCATTAAAATCACTAAACTTAGACATTTGTATCATTAAAATCACTAAACTTAGACATTTGTATCATTAAAATCACTAAACTTAGACATTTGTATCATTAAAATCACTAAACTTAGACATTTGTATCATTAAAATCACTCTCATTAAGAAATATGAATGCCACAAATAAATAAAATTAAAGAAATCTCATTAAGAACTTTTCACTTCCTCTCACAATTTATTTTTTTAAAGAAAAACAACTAAAATGTATGTCCGAAAACGATTTCAAATTTCAAAACTTATTTATCAACAATTTTAAAAATTAATTTATTCAAGCTCAAACAAATCTAACGTTAGCAAACAGTGGAATTACGAAGGAAAAGTAGATCTTTACCTATTATATATAGCAAGAAACATCTAAATAAATTACACGTCGAAGAACTTAATTAGTAATAATACTTACCTGTTCTATTTTGACATTTGTTTATTGTTTTTCTTCCTGTTTTGGATTTAATTTGTTGTTTTGCTGAAGTACTTGTACTCATTTTTTTATTAAGGAGGCAAAGTAGATATTATGGTATT